GCTTCATGCAGCTTCTGGAACACAGCAATGACATCAGCACGCTTCATGCAGCTTCTGGAACACAGCAATGACATCAGCATGCTTCATGCAGCTTCTGGAACACAGCAATGACATCAGCATGCTTCATGCAGCTTCTGGAACACAGCAGATGACAACAGGAAGAGCCTTGGTTTTGTCAGCCTCCTGAACAAGTCTAAAGACCCACAAGTCGTTGGGCCACACTTTGAGAGCTGCTCAGTGGAAGCAGAGGGGCCTCTTTAGGCAGGGAAGACTGGAAAGTTCTAGCGGAGTGTCTGGATGTTGGTTGAAGAGATATGGCCTTTGCGGAGCAGGTGACCAGACTTTTAGTCTTCCACACCTCAGTGTTAGGAGTTGAGTTCTTAATGGTTTCTATCACCCAAGACTCCATGAAATGCATTGACAATGAGATATTTATAGTTCTAGAGCAGCAACTCTCACCTGTGAGTTGCGACCCCTTTGGGGGTCGGAAGACCCTTTCACAAGGGTCACCTGACTCATAACCGTAGCAAAATGACAGTGATGAAGTAGCAACAAAAATAATTTTATGGTTGGGGGGTCACCACCACATGAGGAACTGCATGAAAGGGTTGAGGCATTAGGAAGGTTGAGAACCACTGCTCTATCTTATGGGCTGATGGAGGGCATGGGGGGGCGGTGGGTTATGCAGTGAGTGCTAACCACCTCGCCAGCAATCCTAGGGGGCAGCTACCCTGTGGGAGAAAGCTGAGGTTTTCGATTCTCATCATCCTAAGACAACTATAATTTTGAGTTGAATTCCTTGATCAGTAACAGGAAAAACTCATTTAAAAAGAATGTTGGTACAGAATTAATCACCGAAAATCTTGGTTAAAAAAATCGTAAAACTGGGCGGTCCCAGATCCTCGGGTTAACGGTTCCTCCGCTCTCCCTGTGCAAGGTCATGCCTGGCAGCCTTCCTGCACAGGGCAAGCTATCAGACCATCTCTGCCCCTAATGGAGCCCAGGGTCTGAGGGGTGGAGGCGAGGAGGAGGGCCTCAGTCAGCTTGCTGGGGCTGGGGCTGGGGGTGGGGGCCGGGAAAGGGGGAGTGTGTGAAGCCCCAGGCTTTGTGGGGTGGCAGCCCAGGAAACTAAGGAGCAAAGGCTGACAGGCCGGAGGAGGAGCAGAAGCAGTTTGCTCAGCCCATTTGCCCGAACCCAAGCAGCACACCCCTGGGAGATCAGGCAGCCCCGAGGCCTTAGGAAAGGGGAGAAGCTAGGGAGACGCCCAGAGTGTGTAGGGGGGCCCTGATGGAGGTGCCCTGGGAGCACACCATGACACAGCAGGAGAGTAGTGGGTCAAGGAGTGGGCTCAAAGCCACCTTCTGCTCCTCAGGACGATGAGGCTGCAGCTCCTGTAAGATTTACAGCCTTGGAAACCCTCAGGAGCAGTTCAACCCTGTCCTGTAGGATCACTTAGGAGTCTGGATCCCTGGAGGGCGGGTTTGGTTTTATTTCTTATAGAAATGGTAACATGATAGTGGGACAGGAGGAAAGTAAAAGGAAAGAGAGGAAAAACCAGGAGGCAAAAGACATTTATAAAGGTATTTTAAATATAGGCATGTGTATATGTAAATATATTAGTATTTAATAGGGATATAGTTCTATGTATATATAGTCATATGCTAAGTATCAAGGTAGCAGACAGGCATTGAGCCTCTACTCAAGTTCTCCCTCAATGCAAGAACATTTTGTTCTAACAACCTGGGATTCTGTGATGCTCACCTTCCCAACACCATCTCTGAAAACAAAATGGGTGCATAAGCAAATGTGGTAAAGACAGCTGATGGTGCCCGGCTATTAGAAGATATAGCATCTGGGGTCTTAATAAGAGGCTTGACCTTTCTGGCACTGATGACCTCCCCTGCGATTATGCTTCTTCCAAAGGATCTCCTTTATCTCTGAAGAGAAGAGAAAACACAAGAAGCAACACCTGGTGCAGAGCCCTAATTCCTACTTCATGGGTGTCAAATGCCCAGGATGCTATGCACAAACAGTAGTTTTTTGTGTTGGCTGCTCTACTATCCTCTGTCAGCCTACAGAAGGGAAAGGAAGGCTTACAGAAGGATGCTCCTTCAGATGGAAGCCGCTCTAAAAGACCCTGAATCAAGATGAGTGGGAAGCCATTCTAATAAACCCATTTTGGATATAAATAAATATGCGGCTTGAAGATAAACAGGCAGCTCTAGCAGGGAAGCAACAAAGCCCACATAGAAGAAGCACATCATCCTGTGTGATCAGGAGGTGTCCACAGGATCAGGTATCAGGCATCAGAAGACCCCAAACAAATCACCATTTCAATGCAAACGAGGGGGGTTAGAGTGGAGACTCAAAGCACATCTGCAGACAATC